GCCTCTTGCAAAGCAATCATCAGGCAACTTCCTAAAGTAACAGTTTCTATCAAAGATAAAGGGAAAACAGAACAATTAATAAATAAAAACAGCGGTATGTTCGTGGTAAGAAGTTATGGCAACTTTTTTCACTGGGTTGTTTTTTACAGAATATGAGCATCTCCAAAGAGAAAAAGAAGATGCGGCTTACAGCAACTTACAGATCCAGTGGTGATTGGAGCTTTTTGCAAGTCATGATGTTTATGTTAAATTGTTTCTACACCTGTAATTTGATCTTGAATGTTGTTCCACATAAGCTGTATTAACTTTGGAAACTTTTTTCTCTGTTTGCAAGGAAGTATTATTTCTGTTGGAGTGGATGCCACAAACTTGTTCGATACTTAATTATACCTACTCTTACAAGAAAGGTGAGATTTTTGGCTGATCTTTTATCAGAAGCTTTGAAGCATAAGAGACATTATTGTAAATTCCTGAAATAGTGCCAATTTTAAATAAGTTTAGAATTAGCACCCCCTTGCTATAATCTTAAAAACAGTACGTTGTATACTTATCGGTATGTGTGCCCTTTGTATAATACCCTCCACCACACCCCTCTAAATGCAGTACTGACACAGTCACAAGAGAATGACCCATTTGAAAAAAAATGGGTGCAGAACATGCATCTCTTTAGTAGTGCTTGATGATGGCAGCATAATGTATTGATGACATATGTAGATGTTGCAAATGAATTATCAGTTTATGTTATGTTTTGGTCAAAGGAATTTCTTGGGGGTACCAGACACACCCAAATTTGCTACTTTACATGTAAGTTAGGTTCAAGTTTACCTGTATGATCTAACTCTTTTTGCTCATTTGAGTTGAAGTTATTGCATTCCTATCGCATTAGTTTCCCTTATGTCTCTTGGCTAAAAAAAAACAGAAAACTAAATGAGCACTCCAGGCTATTGTAATATACATGTACAGTCATGTTCTTGTAAACAACTAAAAACAGGCAGCAAAACATTTGTTAATACTACACATACATTTGTCCAAGTTATGTGAAAGTGTGCATTAAGGTGGCTCGACAGTTTTTCAGGTTCAATACCTCCCAAGTTTGAGCATTAACCACATCACCATAAACAAAGATTTGGAAAAATTGCCACCACAATTGTATTAGATAAAGGTAAAAATTTGTCATGATCAGGGTTGCAACGACATTGGAGTCGTCATAGCAATAAAATGACTTCAATACCCATTTTACTTGCAGCAGTATTATTTGGCAAAGGGAAATGTTTTTCCAAAATCGTTCACGGGAGCTTTTTCCTCCAATAGCTGCCTTGATGTTTGTGAAGTTTAAGCAAAATCAGTAAGAGCATTGTCGAGATAGTTTGTGGGCATAGTATAACTTGAAAAAAATTGGGCTAACTTTTTTCAAGTTTCAATCCATATCAATCCATCCCATTAAAAATACAGTGTTAAATAACTGATCTGTACCATTATTTTTGAAATTCAATGATGCAAAGACACATTTTAGCTTCAAAAAGATAGCAAATGGCATGAAATAGCACCTTTAATCACTTAATTTATAGTTGCCACTGTGCAATTTATAATGTGAAATCTGTTTGACATCCTTTCTTCGCTCTTCATAGTTATTGCATTGGAGGAATTGTGATTGGAAGTAATGGAAAGGGGATGTCTGTGGGAATGAATGACAGTAAGTGAACATATATTTAAAAAACATTATTATGATAACATTTGCTGGGGGAAATCTTAAAACCAAGCTATGACTTGTTCGTAACTCATTTTCCTCACAGAGACTGAAGTGAAAAAAAAAAGGGGAATCAATGTATTATTTTACTCTCTGACCTTATTCTTCCAAACACTGGAATTGTGACTTTTTTTCTTCAATACCGGAATTCTGACCTCATTTCTTTAAACATTAGAATGTTGACCTTACTCTTCCAAACATTAGAATTGTGATTTGATCCTTTCAAACTCTGGAATTCTGACCTTATTTCTTCCAAACACTGGAATTCTGATCTTATAATTCCAAACATCGGAATTGTCACCTGATCCTTCCAAACACTGGAATCTGTCTGTTTCCTCCAAACATTGGATAAGAGATGACTGTATTATATCACGTCAGGATATCTCTATTTACAAGAATCTATTTACAAAATTATTATGAACATATGACAAAAATCAAAAATGTATATTTAAGAATATTAAAATCAGAGGGATACTAAAAGCAGAGAACGACAAAATTAATCATGAAAACAAGATATTTTGCCACATGGCAACACCCCGATTGGCTAGTAAATAATTGACATGTTCTCTTTTATCTCTTATTCTATTAAAGATTTCTTAACTGGAATTTTGACGTTATTCTCCCAAACATTTAAATTGTGACCTGATCCTACCAAACACTGGAATTCTGACTTTATTTCTTCCAAACATTGGAATTCTGACCTTATTCTTCCAAACACTGGAATTCTGACCTTATTCCTTCCAAAACTGGAATTTTGACCCTATTCTTCCAAACATTGGAATTGTCACCTGATCCTTTCAAACACTGGAATTCTGACCTTATTTCTTCCAAACACTGGAATTCAGACCTTCTTTCTTCCCAGCACTGGAAATATGACCTTATTTTTTCCAAACATTAAAATTCTGACCTTATTTCTTCGAAACATTCGAAATCTGACCTTATCCTTCAGAACACTGGAATTGTGACCTTATTCTTTCAAACACTGGAATTTTGACCTTATTTATTCCAAACATTGGAATTCTGGCCTTCCATGTATTTCTTCCAAACCTTGGAATTCTTACCTTATCCGTCACAACACTGGAATTCTGACCTTATTAATTCCAAACATTGGAATTCTGGCCTTATTTCTTCCAAACATTGGAATATGCTGACTTTATTTCTTTTAAACATTGGAATTGTCACCTTATTCTTCCAAACACTGGAATTGTCACCTTATCCTTCCAAACATTTGAATAATGGCCATATTATTTCAAAACTGGAATTTTGACCTTATTCCTTTCAAACTTTTAAATTCTGACCTTATTTCTTTCAAACATTGAAATTCTGACCTTTTTTCCTCCAAACACTAGAATTGTGACCTGATCTTTCCAAATATTGGAATTCTGACCTTATCCTTCCAAACACTGTAATTGTGACCTTAGTTATTTCAAACACTGGAATTGTGACCTTAATTTCTTTCAACCATTGAAATTCTGACCTTATTTCTTCCAAACACTGGAATTGTGACCTTATTTATTCCAAACCATGGAATTCTGACTTTATTTCTTTAAACCTTTAAAGTTCTGACCTTATTCTTCTAAACATTGGAATTCTTACCTTATCCATCACAACACTGGAATTCTGACCTTATTTATTCCAAGCACTGGAATTCTGACCTTATTTATTCGAAACATTGGAATTCTGACCTGATTCCTTCCCAACTTTGAAATATGCTGACCTGATTTCTTTAAAACATTGGAATTGTCACCTTTTTCTTCCAAACATTGGAATTGTGACCTTCTCCTTCCAAACATTGGAAATATGACCTTATCTTTTTTCAAACACTGGAATTCTGACATTATTTCTTTCAAACGTTGGAATTCTGACCTTCTTTCTTTCACACATTGGAATTGTCACCTTTTTCTTCCAAACGTTGGAAATGTCACCTTACCCTTCCAAAAAATCGGAATTGTAACCTTATTCTTCCAAAGATTGGACTTCTGACCTTATTTCTTTCATACAATTCCAATTAGATCTGGAACGTACGGACACGTTTAAACGAGTTCATTTGGACTCTTAAGTGCTTCGTGGGTAAAAAAGCAATTTACATTTTTTTTAATGGAACTGTGACCTCATCTTCCAAACATTGGAATTCTGACCTTATTCCTTCTAAACACTGGAATTCTGACCTTATTTTTTTTCAAACACTGGAATTCTGTCGTTATTTGTTCCAAACGTTGGAATTCTGACCTTAATTCTTTCAAACACTGGAATTCTGACCCTTATTTCTTCTAAACACTGAAAGTTTCACTTTATTACTTGCAACGATTGGAATTCTGACCTGATGCTTTCAAGCATTGGAATGCTGTGTCATTTTTGCAAACATCAGAATTCTAAATGTTGCATAGCAGAGGTCCCGACGTTTTGCTTTTATATGTAGGTTGCTAATAACATGCAATTAAATAACGACCAAGCACTGAGCTTTTAAGGAGGACATGAACGTGTTTTACCAACCTAATCCTATGCTATATATCAGGCACAAACTGTGCATTACTCTAAAGGAAGAAATCTGCCGATTCACGGTCACTTCAAGTAATAAAACAAAAAGAAAGTCAATGAGTTTAGTCTGTTAACAAAAACTCTAGAAAGTTTATATCACTGCAAGAATGAACAGTTTCCCTGCAGTGTTCTTGCCTTCTTCAGCAATTTTGGTTTTAGTGTCTTTATCCGCTCCTTGTACATTCTTGCCTTGTCCAGCAACATCTTTAAGCGGTCCAACATCTGTTGTAGACCATTTAGAATCCATTCACCATAACAGTTTGAAGGTCTTCTCGTGCATACTGGTGTTTGACTCTGGTCAGTTGGCTATTCAACTTCTGCCTCGCATTCGTCTTCTGTTCTCTCCTACCCGCTTATCTCACCTTTGAAATCATCTTCTGCAAGTCCACCTCCTTCCGTATCCAGTATATCTACTCCCTGATCACATTCACCACCGTGTACGAATTCTGCGACTAGAACAGTATCAGCAAGGCAGGACAGAGCCTGGCACATTCACAACCTCACTAGGAAGGTCATCATTGGCCCCAACGTCGGCATTTTTCCGCTCTGCTAATCACCGTACCAGGCTCCATTGATTCCACCTTACTCGACCCTGGTAGTACCCATTGATGGTTTTTGCCCTCATCACGAGGAGCATTCACTGATCCCCTAGTAGCAGGTCCCCCCATGCGTTCTTCCTGCCTTCCCTGGTACAACTTGAGGTTGTTGAAATGAACTACTTGACTACTTTTACTGGATACGTGATGTTCATGACGTGTTCCTTTATTTCAAAGGGTCCCTCCCACTGTAAATAGCATTACTTTGTTTCAGTCACCTGGTTTCAGCCGTGGAGTGTAGCGTAGCACTAAATCTCCAGTTTGAAAGACCATGTGTCTAATGTCCTCATAATATGCATCTTTCTGCTGATGCTGAGTTACTTGCAGACTTTAACTCACATCACAATATCACTTGGTAACTCCGAGTACATCCTAGCTGGTATTTAACTTAGGGGTGCCTTTGGTTTTGGTCCAGACTTGCACTTGGCCAATATCAGACAACTACTATGGTTCCTATTCATTGCTTTAGTGAACTGGTTTTTATTTTCCTTAAGGTCTTTATCTTTCCTAAATGGCCACCTGCTGTACTATTATGCTCTTCAGTTACGGCTTCTTTAACAAATCCCTAGGTCAAAATCATCCTGCCTTAGCTAACAACGTTCCTTCGGCTGACAGCAGGTAATGTACTCCCTCTTCTAGCTCTAACAGTTTTCACTGTGCTCAGATTTCCCTTGTTGCTCGACTTAGGGGTTGAGGGTTATCAGTCAGTTTCTTCCATTTCAGCTGCCCATTTGGGGGTGGTTTCAGCTTTTCATTCTAGCTCACGAATCTCTTCATTCACACCAAGAATCTTATCATTCGCACCAATGGGTAGTGGGGATACAATTCTATGCGCTGACCACCCAATCCTTGGCCAAGCGGTAATTGTCTTACGTCTTGATTACCCGAACTGTTATGAGTCTCAGGATGCTTTCAGTTCAGGCCATGCAGAGCGCACATCCCTGCCGCATCGCTCAGATGTGTTTCTCGGGGTGATGGGCCAGCATCCCCCAACCTGCAAATCTTCCCGCAATGTACAAGAAACATAGAACTCAAAAGAAAAGATCAAAACGAAGACGACTTATGCCTGGCCATCAATTATGTGATAAGGATGCCAGTCATTTAAAAGCTGTGTTAATCACCATCGTTTAGCATCCTGATTTATGTAGCTGTTGGTTGTTGCATACTCAAAATCTGAGCTGCCGTGAACCATTGATTGGCCCTTTTGGATCACTGTATAGTGCATTTTTCTTTCCTTTTGTGGCTATTGTTCACTTTTGCTTGTCATATACAAAAAGAAGCACTCACAACATTCACAGACGTTTTCTTCTCAACAGATGCCACAGCCTGACAAGCTTTATTAGCACTTTCTAATCTAGAAACAACAACAGTCTGCACCAGTGACTCTGGTTGACTCATGAATACTTTCCCCCGCAAATCATCGCGGATTCCCAGTCCTTGAATAAATTGGTCTCATGCTAGTTCCACCTTGAATGAATAAAGCGCTTCTGTGTAGGTATTTTGCACCAATTCCACCCCACTATCCGCAGTCTTTGGCTCTGACCAGTTGGCTGTTCTTCTTTGGCCTCATGTTCATCTTTAGTTTTCTCCTCCCTTCTTGTCTCTCTGTTTTGTACATCTTCTACAAGTCCACCTCTCTCCATATTTGATATATTTACTCCCTTATCACATTCACCACCGTGTTCGTGTTCTCCTCCTGGAACCATATCAGGAAGGGAGAAAAGATATTCACTTTCGCCTGGCACATTTACAACCTCACCAGGAAGCTCATCATAGGCGCCAACCTGAATAATTACTTTGTTGTTGTGATAATCACCTCTGACCTTGTGTTCGTCTTCTCTTGTCTCCTCCCTGCTCGTCTTACCATTTTGAGAATCTTCACAACTGCAGGTTGTTGAAATGAACTACTTGAGATTTCCTGGAATGTCCCCTGACGTGTTCCTTCATTTCAAACGGTCGCTCCCACTGTCAGTGGAATTAGTTTGCTTCAACTAATTTCAGCTATAGAGTGTAGCATTGCACCAAATCTCCAGTTTTAAAGACAGTGTGTCTAGTGTCCTTATCATGCATCTTTCTGCCGATGCCTAGCTACTTGCAGACTTTACCTTGCATCAGGATGTGCAGTTTCTAACCTATCGTGAAGGTCATTGACAAACTCCGAGTAGCTCCTAGATGGTATTGGATGTAGGGGTGCCTTTGGTTTTGGTCCAGACTTGTGCTTGGTCCATATCAGACAACTGCTATGGCACCTATTCACTGCTTTAGTCAACCCTGGTGTCCAGGACCTGGCTTTTATTTTTTCTCAAGGTCTTTATCCTTCCTAATGGCCACCTGCTAAACCATTATGAACTTCAGTAAAAGCTTCTTTAAGAAACCCCTAGGGTAAAACCATCCACATGATTTTTTGACATATTCCTGCACTATAAAAATTTGGATTCCTATCGTATCCTTCCAAACATTGGAATTTTGACCCTGTTTTTATAAAAAATGGAATTCTGACTTTATCCTTAAAAAAACATGGGAATTCTGATGTTATCCTTCCAAACACTGGAATTTTGGCCCTTTTTTATAAACAGTGGAATTCTGATGTTATTCTAACAAACACTGGCCCTATTTTTATACAGATTGTTTTTCTGATCTTATCTTTCAAAACATATGAATACTGGCCCTATTTCTATAAACATTTGTTTTCTGACTTATCCCTCCAAACATTGGAATACTGGGTCTGTTTTTATATACATTGTAATTATGAAGTTATCCTTCCAAATATTGAAATTCTGGCCCTGTTTTTATACACATTATAATTCTGATCTGATCCTTTCAAAGATTGGAATTCTGGCCCTATCCTTTAAAGCACTAGAATTCTAGTCGTATCTTTCTAAACATCGGAATTATTAACCTGTCCTTCCAAACAATGGAATTCTGGCTTTATTTTTATAAACACTGGAATTCTATTCTGAACCTTTTAAATATTCAGGAATTCTGACCTTATCCTTCCAAACATTGGTATTCTGGCCCTAATTTTAATAAACATTAGAATTCTGTCCTTATCCTTTTAAACATTGCAATTCTGATCTTCTCCTTCCGAACATTCTAATTTGGGCCCTATTTTTAAAACACTGGAATTCTTATATTATCCTTTCAAACATATGAATTCAGGCCCTATTTTTATAAACATTGGTATTCCTATCTTATCCTTCTAAACTTTGAATTTCTGACCTTCTCCCTCAGTACACTGGAATTATAATCTTATCCTAAACCGTGGAATTCTGATCTTATCCTTCCCCTATTTTTGTAAACATTGGAATTCTGTTATTATCCATTTAAACATTGGAATTCTGATCTTATCCTTCCAAACACTGGAATTCTGGCCCTTTTTTTATAAACATTGGAATTTTGACCTCATCCTTACAAGCACTAGAATTTTCATCGTCATCATCATCAAGTCTCATCCATCACGCCCGTAAGCGCGTAAGGCCTGACATTGAACTCAGCCACCTCAACCACTCTTTTTTTTGTCCTTCTCTGCTGCCATCTAATCCCCAGTATCCGTCTCATGTACTGGCACTGGCAGCTATTTAGCTTCCGTTCATTGTTCTTGGTGATCTTCCAAGTTTCACACCCATATAGTAGGACTGTTCGAAGTTAAGTCTTGAAAATAGGCTTATCTTGGTTCTCCCTTCTATTCCTTTAGCTTCGTAGACCCTCCTTAGTCTCTGGAATGCGCTAAATGCTTTCTTCAGACGGTGCATAATGTCTTTGCTAGGTATGTAGACTACTCAACGTGATCCACTTCTACGCCATCCACCACAATATTCTTCCTGCTACTAGTACACTCAGTCCTTAGTGTCTTGCATTTTCTCGCATTATGTTTGAGTGCTTCTTGCTGCTTCCTCCGCCAATCTCCCAGTCTTTTTATGGAAGTCATTGAACGTAGATGACAGTAGTGCAATGTCATCTGCGAAATCAAGGTCCTCCAGCACTGTTGTTAAATTCCACCTCTTCCGTCTTTTCTTGTCTTCTGTTGCCTTCCTCATGAGCCAATCCAAGCATAGTAAGAATAGGAATCCTGAAATTGCGCACCCCTGTTTTACCCCAGTCTTGATCATAAACCAGTCAGATGCCTCACTCCTGTCGACAACTGCACACTCAAAACCCACGTATATGCCTTCTATCTGTAACTCTTACCATCCTGTCTGGTATCCCATAACTTCTCATGATATTCCATTGGCTTTCTCTCTGTACATAGTAAAAGACTTTTTTAGTCTACAGAGTGCGCATACAGACCCGCTCTCCACTCATTTGCCTGCTCAAGATGTTTTGTAAGTATAAAGGTCAGTTCAGTTGTACTTCTCTTGGGTCGAAACCCAGCCTGCTCCTTTGGAAGATTTTTGTCTACGACTTTCTTGATACGCTACAACTGCATCCTACAGAACATCTTACTAATAACATGTAGTAAAGTCACTCCTCTCCAGTTGTTGCATTCACGCAAACTACCTTTCTTAAATAATTTAACAAGTTCCTTCCTACACACTTTTGGCCACCTGTCAGTTTCCCAAAGGCTGTTGTAACAACTAGTCAGCCTACTTCCAGTGTCTTCCATGTCAGCTGTCAATAATTCTGGACACACCTCATCTACTCCAGCCGCTTTCCCTGGCTTTGTCCTCTTCAACGCATCCTTGACCTCTTGTAATTGTTTCTTCAATAGACGTATCTTGGTTCTCTTTCCTATTCTTCTAGCTGCCCAGACCCTCCTTAGTCTCTGGAATGCGTCACGTGCTTTCTGCAGACGGTTCATAATACTACCTCCACCCTCCTTGTCTACGATAGCTCCTAGGTATGTAAACTCCTCAATGTCATCCACTTCTTGGCCATCCACCACAATATTCTCGCTGTTACTAGCACACTCAGTCCTTAGTGTCTTGCACTTCCTTGCATTAAGTTTGTCCTACTCTGGCTGCGTCCTCCGATAATCTCCCATTCTTTTTATGGAAGTCATTAAATGTAGATGACGGTACTGCAATCTCATCTGCGAAATCAAGGTCCTCCAGCACTGTTTTGAAATTTCACCTTATCCCTCTTCTCTTGTTTATATGTTGCCTTCCTCACGACCCAATCCAAGCAGAGTAAAAATAAGAATCCCGACATCAGGCACCCATTTTACCCCAGACTTGATTATAAACCGTTCAGATGTCACACTCCCGTCGACAACTGTGAACTCAAAGTATATTTCCCAAGTATATTTCGGCTATCACTCTCACCATCTCGTCTGGTATTCCATAACTTCTCATGATATTCCATAGGCTTTCTCTGTGTACAGAGTCAAAGGCTTTTTCGAAGTCTACAAAGTGCCCAAACAGACCCGTCTTCCAGACATTTGCCTGCTCTAAGATGTTTCAAGTAAAAAGGTCTGTTCAGTTGTACGTTGAAACACAGCCTGCTTCTTTCAAAATTTCTTGTCTACACCTTTGTTGATCTGCTCCAACTGCATCCTAAAAATATCCTACTAATGACAGATAGAAGTCACTCCTCTCCAATTGTTGCATTCGTGCAAACTACCTCTCTTTAATATCTTAAGAACAAGTTCCTCCTTCCACAGTTTTGGCCACCTCTAAGTTTCCCAAAGCTTCTTGTGACAACTAGTCACCCTACTTGCAGTGTTTCCCATGTCAGCTATCAATAATTCCGGACACACCTCATCTATTCCAGTGACCACTTTTATCCAATACCCTTTCGTCTCCTTAGCTACTTGCCCTGCCCGTTTTGTCTCCGCCATGGTTCTCACATTCCAGCAACCATTGATCGTCTGTCGCTTGGGGCGGCTACTAGGGGGTCCTATCTGACTTTGGGTTTCTGGCTGGCTTTGACTCAAGATCGTCATTGCAGCCCCAGCAACAACACTCCCCGTCAGTGTTGTCTCCTTATCAACACTTATGGTTTGTGTAATAGTTAGTGTTTTTATGTTGCACGGTCGTTAGAGGACTACGTGGTGACTCTTTGTCTGGTCTCTACCGTTCGACCTTTTTGGCATGGGTGGTCCTACCAGGAGTACAAGACTCCAGCTGACAGAGCTCTAGGGGTCGTGGAGACACGCAAACTGCCCCACCATCACAAGTTGGTGACCCCATGTGGAGCAGAAACAGTGGAATCTTGGCCCTATTTTTATTTACTTCGGAATTCTCTCTTTCCAAACACTGAAATTCAGGCTCTATTTTTATATACATTGGTTTTTCCGATCTTACCTTTCCAAACACTGAAATTCTGGCTCTATTTTTATACACATTGGTTTTCTGATCTTATCGTTACAAACATTGGTATTCTGGCCCTCTTTCTATAAACGTAGGGATTCTTATCTTATCCTTCCGAACACTGGAATTCTGGCCCTATTTTTATAAACGTTGGAATTCTGATTCTATCCTTCCAAAGATTAGAATTTTTGGCCCCTTTTTATAATAAACGTTGGAATTCTGATCTTATCCTTCCAAATACTCCAATACTTGCCCTATCTTTATACACACTGGGTTTCTGATCTTATCGTTCTAAACATTGATATTCTGTCCCTATTTTTATAAACGTTGGAATTATGATGTTATCCTTCCAAACATAGAAATACTGGCCCTGTGTTTATAAACATTGGAATTATGATCTTATCCTTCAAAACACTGGAATTTTGGTCCCTTTTTATAAACATTGGAATTCTCATCTTTCAAATCCTCAAATACTTGCCCTATTTTTGCACACATTGGTTTTCCGATCTTATCCTTCCAGACATTTAAATACTGGCCCTATTTCTATAAACATTGGAATTCTGGACAAACTTTTATGAACATTGGCAGTCTGACCTTATACTTCTAAACATTGCAATTCTAGCGTTATCCTTACAATTATTTGAATTCTGATCTTATCCTTCCAAGCATTGAAATTCTGGTCCTATTGTTATAAACATTCTTCTGATCTTGTCGTTTAAAACACTGTAATTCTGGCCCTCTCCTTTTATAAACTTTGGAATTCAGACTTCATCCTTCCAATCATTGGAATTCTGACCCTATTTTTTTAAACACTGGAAATCTGTTACTATCCTTTGAAACATTGGAATTCTGATCTTATCCTTCCAAACATTGGAGTTTTACTGTATTTTTATAAACATTGGAATTCTCATCTTATCTTTCTAAACACTGGAATTTTGGCCCGGTTTTTATACACGTTGGTTTTCTTAATCCTTCCAAACATTGGAATTCTGTATATGTCCGCTATAACTCTCACCATCTTGTCTGGTATCCCATAACTTCTCATGATATTCCATAAGCCTTCTCTATGAACAGAGTCAAAGGCTTTTTTAAAGTCTACAAAGTGCCCAAACAGACCCGCCTTCCACACATTTGTCTGCTCTAAGATGTTTCAAGTAGAAAGATTTGTTCAGTTGTATTTTTCTTGGGTCCAAACTCAGCCTGCTCCTTTCAATTTCTTGTCTACACCTTTCTTGATCCGCTCCAACAGCATCCTACAGAATATCTTACTAGTGACCGGTAGTAAAGTCACTCCTCTTCAGTTGTTGTATTCGCGCAAACTACCTTTCTTAACAACCTCCTTCTTCCACAGTTTTGGCCACCTCTTAGTTTCCCAAACACTGTTGTAACAACTAGTCAGCCTACTTGCAGTGTCTTCCATGTCACCTCTCAATAATTCTGGACACACCTTATCTACTCAAGCCGCTTTCCCTGGCTTTGTCGTCTTCAATGCATCCTTGAACTCCTGTCATGACCATCCTAGATCTATTTCCTCAATCTCCTCCGATTCTACTATCTCATTCTCTTCCACAGGATTCGTTGGGTCATCTCTGTTTAATATTTTATTAAAGTGCTCCACCCATCTCTGCAGTCCTTCTTTTGTTTCAGTCCTAAGCACCCTTTGTTTGTCCTCAACACCTATTTCTTGTTTCCGCTTTTTTTTACCATTCTCAGCGGCCTTTACCGCTGCTGCTGCCCTCTTCTCTACCAACTTCTGTTATCCTCCCTAGCACTCTGTTTCACTTTGTTGTTCTTGGCACTATACTCCTTGCTCCTTCTCTCTTTTAGTCACTCTGATCTTGCACCCTGCAATTTCTATTTTGCCTCTTTCCTCTCCTTGATCTTTTCCGATGTTTTGCTTCCTATCCATGGCCTACTAAGTCTGTTTGACCTCCCCAAACTTTCTTTGCTCCATCTCTTTACGTTGCCAAACTCATATCGTGTTCTTCCTCCGGATCATCTACGTCTCCTAAAGCTTCAAACCTATTCCTTACCTCATTGTTGTGCTTCCTCCTGATCTTTTCACTTTGCAGTTTACTTACGTCAAACCTTTCCCTTACGTTCTTCCTCCCCTCAGCTCTTGCCAACTTTAGACAGATCCTCGTTTTCACAAGGTAATGGTCACTGTATACGTCTGTTCCTCTCATTACGCTGGTGTTTGAAGTAATATATCAAACATGAGATGCAGTGTTTCATCACCAGATGAAACACCGAGAAGAGAGTTGAAAATACGACGCGCAGCGGAGTATTTTTGACGAACTTCGAGGTGTTTCATCTGGTGATGAAACACTGTGTCGAATGTTTGATATTTCTTCTCAAACAAAATCATTTTTGAAGGAGAAATTAAGGATGCAAATACTAAGCAGTGTTTCATCCGATTTCCAAACACTCATTAAACATTAATTTCCTTTGTATTTTCTTAATGAATTATTAATGAGTTTGAGAANTCTGGTGACCCCCAGGTAAGCTTATGGATGTCTTTATGAGGGAAGTTTGTTCCAGTTATGATGAACCCATTTGCACTACAGAAGTCACATATCCTCTCTCCACTATCATTCATAAAACCAGTGCCAAACGTCCGCATCACTTCCTTTCTATTGGTATTGTTGTTGCGTACCTTAGCATTCAAATCTCCCATCACCACAATCAGATCATGTCTGTTGCAGTCTGAAATAGTGTCCTGCAGCTGGTTGTAGGATTCATTCTTTTGCTCATCCATTGCATCATTTATTGGTGCATATGGTTGTACTACCGTCACTTTTCTGTACTTTGAGTAGTAGTATGCTGTAATGATCATTTTGCTGATTGGCGTTGATTCCATCAAGGCTCCCTTTGCCCTCCCACTCTTCATGATGGCTACTCCTTCCCGTTGTATCTTATCATTTTCTAGGTACACCACCTTCTCTCCACTCTGCAGTGTTGCTGATCCGGTCCCTTTCCACCTAGGCTCAGTTATTCCTAGCACTCGAAACCCATACTCTTTCATCTCCTTAGCTACTTGCCCTGCCTGTCTGTCGCTTAGGGGCTACTATGGGGCCTATCGACCTTTGGGCTTCCAGGTGACTTTGACCCAAGAGCATCATTGCAGCCCCAGCAGCAACACCCCCAGCCAGTGTTGTGTCCTTATCAACTCTTCTGGTTTCTCCATGCTGTCTGACCAACCTTTCTGTCTTGTGCAACCGCTTTTTCTACTTCCCAGCTCTTCCACCCAGATTTATTTCCCGACTGTCCTTTTTCAAGTAGTTTTTGGTCTTCCTCTCGTCCTTAGACCTTTAGGAGCCAATCCTAATGCTGTAAAGCAGTCGTTCTCACCCTCACTCTTTAGTATGTGACCTAGCCAGTTGCACCTTCTTCGCCGCAACTCCTCAACGTCATCCACCTCTTCGCCATGCACCACAATATTCTCCCTTCTACTAGCACACCCAGTCCATAGTGTCTTGCACTTTGTTGCATAAAGTTTGAGTCCTACTCTGGCTGCTTTCTCTGCCAATCTCCCAGTCTTTTCATGCAAGTCCTTGAATGTAGATGACAGAAGTGCAATGTCATCTGCGAAATCATGGTCCTCCAGCACACCTGTGAAATTCCACCTTATCCCTCTTCTCTTGTCTGCTGTTGCCTTCCTCATGACTCCATCCAACCACACTATGGCTTAGAATCTTGACATCACGCACCCCTGTTTTCCCCCAGACTTGATCATAAACCAGTCAGATGTTACACTCCCGTCGACAACTGTGCACTCAAAGCCCACGTATATTACTGCTACTACTCTTACCGTCTTGTCTGGTATCCCATAACTTCTCATGATATTCCATAATCCTTAACTCTGTACAGAGTCAAAGGCTTTTTCAAAGTGTAAAACAAAGTGCGCATACAGACCGTCCCTCGACTCATTTGCCTGCCCTAAGATGATTTTAACTATAAAGATCTGTTCAGCTGTATTTCTCTTCGGTCAAAACCCAGCCTGCTCTTTTCGAAGTTTCCTGTCTATGCCTTTCTTGATCCGCCCCAACCGCATCCCACAGGATATCTTACTAATGACAAGTACAAAAGTCACTCCTCTACAGTTGTTGCATTCGTGCAAGCTACCTTTCTTAAATACGTTAAGTCAAGTCTCTTCTTCCACACTTTCCGCCACCTCTCAGTTTCCCAAAGCCTGTTGTAACAACAAGTCAGCCTACTTGCAATGTCTTCATGTCAGCTCTCAATAATTACGGACACACGTTATGTACTCCAGCCCACTTTCCCTGGATTTGTCCTCTTCAACGCATCCTTGACCTCTTGTGATCGCCATCTTTCTAGACCTATTTCCTTAATGTCTTCCGATTCTACTATCCCATCCTCTTCCACAGGATTCGTGGGGTCATCTTTGTTTAATATTTCACTAAAGTGCTCCGCCCATCTCTGCAGTCTTTCTTTTGTTTCAGTCCTAAGCACCCCTCTTTTATCCTCAACACCTATTGCTTGTTTCTTCCTTTCTCCAGTTATCTAATTAGTTATGCTGTATAGCTCCTTGTTTCTACCATTCTCAGCGGTCTTTACTGCTGCTGCTGCCCTCTTCTCTACCATCTTTTCTTATCCTTCCTAGCTTTTCGTTTCATTTGTCGTTCTTCACACTATACCCCTCGCTTCTTCTCTCTTTCAGTCCTTCCAATCTTTCACCCTCCAACTTCAATTTTGCCTCTTTTCTCTCCTTGATTTTTCCCATCTTTTGCTTCCTGTCCATGGCCTACTAAGTTTCTTTCACCACCCCAAGACTCTCTTTGCTCCATCTCTGTATGTTGCAAAAATCATATGGTGTTCTTCCTCCGGATCATCTATGTCTCCTAAAGCTCCAAACCTGTTCCTCACCTCAGTGTTGTGCTTCCTCTTGATCTCTTCACTAGGCAGTTTACTTACGTCAAACCTTTCCCTTACGTTGTTCCTCTCCTCAGCTCTTGCCAACTTTAGACAGATCCTTGTTGTCACAAGGTAATGGTACTGTATACTGTTCCTCTCATTACTCTGGTGTCTAAATAGATGTTCTCATGTTTCCATTCATTAGAACATGGTGAGTCTGGTTTACCTAGTGACCTACAGGTAAGCTTATGGTTGTCTTTATTAGGGAGTTGTGTTCCTCAATACTACTTGGGTAAACGTGATGTCTTCAGTGTATAGGAGAGAGGTGATAGTAAGTATTTTGGTCACGGTTTGCAGGCGTAGTGAAGGAAAGATAACCATAACAACAACGCATGGAATCGTTTCAAATTTCCCATCACCACAATCACATCATTTCTCTTGGAGTCTGAAATAGTGTCCTGTAGCTCATTGTACGATTCATTCTTTTGCTCATGCATTCTATCATTTATTGGGGCATATGTTTGTACCACCGTCAGTAGTAGTATGGTGCTGTAATAATCATTTTGCTAATTGGCATCGATTGCATCAAGCCCCCCTTTGCCGTCATACTCTTCATGATGGCTACTCCACCCTGTTGTGCCTCATCATTTCCTACGTACACCACCTTCTCTCCACTCTGCAGTGTTACTCATCCCGTCCCTTTCCACTTGGTCTCACTTATCCCTACCACTATAATCCAATACTTTTTCATCTCCTTAGCTACTTGCCCTACCTGTGTTGTGTCCGCCATGGTCCTCACACTCCAGCAACCAATGGTTGTCTGTCGCTTGGAGGCTACTATGGGGCCCTATCAGACTTTGGGCTTCCGACTGATTTTGACTCCAGATCGTCGTTGCAGCCCCAGCAACAACACCCCTCATCAGTGTTGTTTCCTCATCAATGCTTACGGTTTTTGTAAAAGTTAGTGTTTTTTGGCCCTTCGCCCAACTTTCAACCTGGAGGACCATGGTGTGACTCTTTGTCTGGTCTCTACCCTTCAACCCTTTTGGCATGGGTGGCTTTACCAGGAGTACAAGATTGCAGTCGACATAGCTCTAGGGATCACGGAGACACTCAAACTACCCCACCACGATAAGGTGGTGACCCTATACGGAGGAGAAACTTTGGAGTTTCGGCCCTGTTTTTATAAACATTGGAATTTTCATCTTACCTTTCCAAACACTAAAAACTGCCTCTATCTTTATAAACACTGGTTTTCTGATCTTATCGATGTAAACATAGGTATTCTGGCCCTATTTCAATGACAATCTTCTAAGAAGAAAAGGTACAAACCACAAATTACTTCTTTTGAGCAAGAGAGGATGATTTGAGCTAAAAGAATAATATCTTTGCGACTAATTGGAAACATTGGAATTCTGATCTTATTCTTCTTAATTCTACATTAGAATTCTGGCCCTATTTTTATAGACATTGTAATTCGCACTTCATCCTTCCAATCATTTGAATTTTGACCCTATTTTCATAAACATTAGAATTCCATCTTATCCTTCCAAGTACTCGAATAGTTGCCCTATTTTTACACACTTTGGTTTTTTGATCTTATCTTTCCGAATACTTGCACTTTCTTTATACACATTGGTTTTCTGATCTTATCGTTCTAAACATTGGTAATCTGTCCCTATTTCTTTAAACATTGAAATTCTGATCTTATCCTCCAACACATTAGAATTCTGGCCCTATTTTTGTAGACATTGTAATTCTCACTTCATCCTTCCAATCATTTGAATTTTGACCCTATTTTTATAAACATTGGAACTGTCATCTTATCTTTCCCAACACTGAAATTGGTTTTCTGATCTTATCGTTTCAAACATTGGTATTCTGGCCCTATTTCTATAAATATTGAAATTCTGATCGTATCCTTCTAAACATAGGGATTCTGGCCCTACCGGTATTTCTATAAACATTGCAAACCTGATCTTATCCTTCTAAGCATTGAAATCCTGGCCGTATTTTTATAACCATGGGAAATTTGATCTTATCCTTCAAGATCTTGGAATTCTGGCCCTATTTTTATAAACATTGGAATTGTGACTTCATCCTTCCAAACATTGGAATTCCCATCTTATATTACACATTGGGTTTCTGATATTATCGTTCTAAACATTGCTATTCTGGCCCTATTTCTATAGACGTTGGAGTTATGATCTTATCCTTCCAAACATAGGAATACTGGCCCTAACCAAACATTGGAATTCTCGTCTTATCTTTCCAAACACTGGAATGTTGGCCCTATTTTTAATCACATTGGTGTTCTGATCTTATCCTTCCAAACATTGGAATTCTGGCCCTATTTCAATAAATATTGGAAGTATGATCTCCTTCCAAACGTTGGAATTGTGGCCCTTTTTTTATAAACATTGGTATTCTTATCTTATCCCTCCAAGCATTGGAATTCTGGCCCTGTTTTTATACACATAAGAATTTTGACCTCATCCTTCCAAACAATGGAATTTTCATCATCATCAACTCTCATCGCACCACAAGGCGCATAAGCCATCCACACTATCTGACCAATACTTTCTGTCTTTTGCAACCGCTTCTGCTACTTCCCAGCTCTTCCACCCAGCTTTGTTTCGCTCTTTTTTGTAGTATTAGTTTGTGGTCTTCTCTTGCCCTCCGACCTTCAGGAGTCCATCCTACTGCTGTAAAGCAGTTAATCTCACCCTCTCTCCTTAGTATGTGACCTAGCCAGTTCAACCTTCTTTGTCGCACCTCACAGCGTATGTCATTGATCTTAGCTAACTCAACCACTTTCTTGTTTGTCATTCTCTGCTGCCATCTAATCCGCAGTATCCTTCTCAGGTACTGGCACTGGAAGCTATTTAGCTTGCGTTCATTGTTCTTGGTGATCTTTCAAGTTTCACGACCATATAGTAGGACCATTCGAACTTAAGTCTTGAAAATAGGCTTATCTTGGTTCTCGTTCCTATTCCTCTAGCTGCCCCAACCTCCTTAGTGTCTTGAATACGCCACGTGCTTTCTGCAGTCGGTGCATAATGTCTTTGCTGCCTCCACCCTCCTTGTCTACAATAGCTCCCAGGTATGTTAACTCCTCAACATCGTCCACTTCTTCGCCATCCACCAGAATATTGTCCCTTCTACTATCACTCTCAGTTCGTAGTGTTTTACATTTTTTCGCATTAAGTTTAAGTCCTACTCTGGCTGTTTCCTCTGCCAATCTCCCAGTCTTTCATGCCAGTCATTGAACTTAGATGACAGTAGTGCAATGTCATCTTCGAAATCAAGGCCCTCCAGCGGTGATGTGAAATTGCACCTAATCCCTCTTCCCTTGGCTGTTGGTGCCTTCCTCATTACCCAGTCCAAGCACAGTAAAAATAGGAATCCAGACATCACGAACCCCTGTTTTAGAATAGACTTGATCATAAACCAGTCAGATGTCACACTCCCATCGACGACTGTGCACTCAAAGCCCTCGTATATGTCGGCTATCACTCTCATGTTGTCTGGTATCCCATAACTTGTCATGATATTCCATAGGCTTTTTCTATGTACGGAGTCAAAGGCTTTTTCAACGTCTACAAAGTGCGCATACAAACTCACCCTCCACTCATTTGCCTGCTCAAGATGCTACAAAGTATAAAGATGCGTTCAAATGTACTTTTCTTGGGTCCAAATGCGGCGTTCTCCTTTCAAATTTCTTGTCTACGCCTTTCTTGATCTGCTCCAACCGCATCCTACAGAATATCTTTCTAGTGACACGTACGTAGTAAAGTCACTCCTCTCCAGTTTTTGTATTCGCGCAAACAACCTTTCTTGAACACCTTAACAACAAGTTCCTTCTTCGACAGTTTTGGCCACCTCTTAGATTTCCAAAGCCTGTTGTAACAACTAGTCAGCCTACTTGCAGTGTCTTCCATGCCATCTCTCAATAATTCCAGACCCACCTCATCTACTCCAGCCTCTTTTCCTGGCTTTGTCCTCTTCAACACATCGTTGACCTCTAGTCATCGCCATCTTCCTAGATTATTTCCTCAATTTCTTCGGATTCTATTATCTCATCCTCTTCCACAGGATTTCGTGGGTCATCTCTGTGTAATATTTTACTTGAGTGCTTCCCGCCCATCTCTGCAGTCTTTTTTTTGTTTAATCAGTACTAAGCACCCATTTTTTTTCCTCAACACCTATTCCTTGTTTTCGCCTTTCTCCAGTTTTCGCCTTTCTCCAGTTATCGACTTAGTAATGCTCTATAGCTCCTTGCTGCTACCATTCTCAACGGCCTTTTCCGCTGCTACAGCCCTCTTCTCCAACTAATTTCTCTTATCCTTCCTAGCATTCCATTTCACTTTGTTGTTCTTTGCACTATACCCTTCGCTCCTCCGTTTCAGTCATTCTGATCTTACACCCTCCAATGTCAATTTTGCCTCTTTCCTCTGCTTGGTCTTTTCCCCTGTTTTGCTTCCTATCCATGGCCTACTAAGTTTGTTTGACCTCCCCAAGACTTTCTTTGCACCACAGTGTTCTCCTTATCAGGCGGTAACCGGTAAAATTTACCGCCTGAAGCAACACTTCTTACCGCCTGCAACTGCTTAAAGGTTTACCAAAATTAAATAATTTTTTTATAAAAAAAATATGCAAGTTGTGATCCGATCCGATCCTCACCAGAAAGTGAATAAATATATGGAAAAGTATAGCTACCTAAGTACAAAACGTACAGCCCAAAAATAATGCACGTGCAGGAACTTCTTTTTGCGTCCGCAAGCTGGCAACTTCGTGCGGCTTTTTGCAGGGCGCTTGCGCTTGAATCCAGCAAGACGCAGGAACTTCTTTTGCGGTTATAAATTTAACCACAAGAATTTCTTAAAATTATCTTGTGCAAAAGTAACCTTTTAAGCGAGGACATGTGTACAATTTTGATAAAAAAAAAA